GACATTTTAGATGTAACTCACCACGCACACAACACAAGGGAAGGTGCATGCTTGTGGTGTTGTCATTATATATGAACCATCCAACCATCACCACAGCCAGGGTTAGAAAATGTCCATGGTCTCCCAAGAACCCTATCTTTTAGCTGTCACCCCCCCCCAGCCCTCCCACTCTCTCCTCGAGCTAAGCCGCCATGAACCTGCCTTCTGTTTGTGCAGATTCGCCTCCTCTGGATTCTTCCTGCAGTACGCAGTCCTTTGACCTCACTGCTGGCAGAGTGTGGCAGAACCCACGGGGCTGCTGAGTCTCCAGGCCTGGGCCTTGCTCTGTACAGTTCTCATTCTGCAGGAAGCCTGTTGCCAGGTAACAAGTCTGCCCCGTGCTCATGAACAGCTGCGCCAACACCAACCCTTTCCACAGCCACAAAACGGGGCCACCCGGCACTCCATCTCCAGCCCAGGCAGCATGGGCATCTGGGGGCACTGCCGGTCACCTGATAAGCACCGGAGCCAGAACTGCCTGTCAAGCTGGTCCTGAATTCTTCTGCAGAAATGAGGTGGATAGCGCTGTGCACGTCCATTGGTGTTACGGCCCCAAAATTTGGCGGAATCTCTTAGGCAGCAACAAATAACTAATATAAGAATCTCCCACTATTACCTGAGACTGTGGAAAGTCTGGGGGAAACTTAGTTCTTTCTTATGTACCTTTAGGGGAGTGTTTAAATCACTTGTTGTGGTGGGTAGAATAATGCCCACCCAGTGCATGCCCCTCATTCTGTTCCCTGAAAGCATGAGAAAGCAAGCTCACAGTGGCAGAGGGTACTGGGCAGGTGTATGCTGTGGGCCTTGGTGTTGATGATGATTGTGAATCATCCTTGTGCGTATTGGTCAGTTTTCCTCTTCGGGGACACAAAACCAACAGGAGCAATTTAAAGGAGGAGAGGGTTAATTTGGCTCACCATTTCAGGGGGTTCAGTGCCCTGGTGGTCGCAGCAGAAATATCACAGTGCAAGGTCACACACTCAGACTCGCCAGAAGTGTGCTCTACTAATCTGCCAGGCTTCTATACATCCAATCAGGTTGGCAAGCTGTGGTTGATGGTCACAGCATGGTTCCAGAGCCTTATAAAAAAGAGGTAGGGCTATGAGGGTCAGAAAGGCGGCATGACCTTGGAAACAGGTTAGAAGGGTTCCAGGACTGGAGAAGGAGGGAGACGCCGTGAGCTGGAAGCTCAGGAAAACTAGGAAGCTGCAGAAGGAACAAACTCTTCTCCGGTGCCTCCAGTAGGAGCAATGCTCTTGGACACCCAGGTCTGGCCTCCTGAGACTAAAGGGAACTCTGACCTAGGGAACTGCCCCTCACGTGGAAGGAATGAATGAATGAATGCTGTCCAAGTCATTCTGTGCTGTACAAGGAGGGGTAGAGTTCTCAGCATGACATAGAATCGTGCAAGTGGAGAAGTGGTTCTTCCAAGCACTTCTTCCCAGCTGAGAAAGATAAGCACTTGGCCAGACTCCATGCGGAACTCTCCCATACCCACTGTGCTGCCCGACCTGGTCACTGAAGATGGTCACATGTCTGTGCTGCTCCTCTCCTTATGTCTCAGAGGCAGACACATCCTGGACACCCCCGGAATGCACCCAAACATCCCAACCCCATCTTGTGAGCACCGGGTGAGTTCTGGCCCTCAAGGCTGTCATTTGAACCAGTGAGTTTTGTTGTCCTTTTCCAGAGCCAGGAACCACAGGTGTCCACCCTGTGTGGCTTCTACGCTGACCCGTGTCTTTTCTGAGACAGCACCCTCTTACTGGCTTTTTCTTTTTCCACTCTTCTTTCTGGTTTCACTCAAAGTGATGTCCGCTTGTTTTTGTTTTGCTTCTCAGGTTGGAGCCTGTATTCATCAGATTGCCCTTTCTTAGGACACAGTACATGACACCCGCAGTTTAAAGGAGGAAAAGTTCATGGCTTCAGGGGATTCAGTCCATGGTGGGCGGGCTCCAAAGCAAGAACATCATGGCTGAAGGGTGCGGTGGAGCAACCCTGCTTAGTTCATGCTGATGTAAAAGCAGAGTAGGGAAACAGCGCAGGAGAGGTTGGGGACCAGAAAGAACCCACAGTGCCACACCTCCGTGATTCCCCAGGTGCACCCAGTGTGTGCTTCACTGACCCTCTAGGGGCTCCCACCCCAATCAAGCTGACAGGCTTCACTATCATGGAGTTACTTCCTAAATGAGAGGAAGGAAATCCAATTTCAAATCACCAAATCTAATTCAACAGCAACACTGGTGGGCTATCTCCCTCATTTCAGAAGATTTCTAAGGACAGCATCTCTACATTGTCTTTATAGCTTCCTCTCCGTGTGTCTGGATGATGTGACCTTGATAATGATTCACTGTAGTAGAGATACTGCCCCTGCCTGGGGATCCCTGGCTAATTTGAGAGTCACATTTACCATGCCTCCAAGTGAGTGCAGGCTAAGTGCATTGGACGTAATCACATCAGGACCTTTCGGCTTGCTGGTAATCACTTCCTTGCAGGTTGATATCAGTGCATTAATCACCACTTTTTGAAAAATAGTTATTCACTACTTCACATTTCATCTGGTTTTACTCAGTCAGCTCATGTCTGTCTGTTGTGTCCTTATAAAGATGTTGAAACTGGCTGTTGCAGGGCTGGTGGAGCCTGTCACCCCACAGCCAGGTCCCACTCCAAGCCACCCTGTAGGCCAGGTGTCGGTGAGCAGACCAGCAGCGACTGCTGCATGCTGAGCCCTTGCTCCTGTGCAGAGGGGAATGTAAGTCCACAGCCTAACAACTCTGCAAATCCACAGGCTTCCTGGAAGTGCCGCTGAGACCTCCCACTCCAGGTTTCACAGACCCTACGGCTTTGCCCCTTCTCTTTCATGCGATGCTCTCTTTTCATCCTTTTAAAAAAATTGCATTTTTATTAACGCGTGTTTGCAGCATCCAGTGATCACATTCACTGTGGGAGTTGGTGCAGATGCATAACCCATCTTCACTCCTTTTCACCTTCTTTCCCCTCCTCCCATATCTTGTTCCCCTCCCTATTGCAAAAGCTCTCTCTCCCTAGTCCTATGATCTGTCTTTTTTTTTTTTTTTTTTTTTTTTGGTACCAGGAATTAAACTCGGGACCTTGCACTTGCCAGGCAGGGGCTTGTGCCGCTGAGCTATATGCCTGGCCCTATGATCTATCTTTTATTTTCCTCTCTATACTTTGAGTTTCTCATAGAAGATAATCCATGTGATATTTAAGCTTCTGTGTCTGTTTTTTTTTTCACTTAACATTATGGTCTCAAGGTACCTCCATTTCTACAAATGACTAAGTTTACCCTTCTTTGTGGCAGAGTAGTACTCCATTGTATGTAAACACCACATGTTTTTATCCATTCATCTGTTGATGGACATATAGGCTATTTAGCTGTTATGAATTGAGCTGCTATAACCATGGGTATGCATAGATCACTATCGTATGCTACAATGATGTCTTTAACTCTTTCAGGAAGACATCTAGACAGGAAATAACTGGGTCACATCAGTCTTGTGATCACACCCTACATCCCACACACCCGGTGAAACTCACTCAGACCTAGCACCTCAGTCCCAGGCAAGGAGCTGTGCTCTGAGATGGCTCCCCAGTGACCCTCACTTCCACCCCAGTGCACACCGGCTCCTCCTGCATGGCGACAAACACTGGTCTTGTTAATGGAGAAAATAGGGTTAAAAACCAAGCAGAGGAGCAGCTTGAGCTGCAGCCTTGCCTTCTGCGTCCTGTTCCCATGGCACCAGAGCTGCGGGCACACGCAGTTCTCATGGTCCTTCTCCAAGCGCTGCCTGCCTCGCAGCCGCACGTCTCGTCTCCTCTCACAGCCGGGTTCATCCACTTGCCCTGGGGCAATCAGCACTGCCCTGTGCGACTCTCTAGGGCCCGAGATGATGCTCTGAACACAGGAAGCACAGGGCCCAGCACCCGGCAAGAGTGGAGGAAACGCTAAGCCCAGCACCACTGGTGTGGTCGTGGCCTAGGAATACGTGGGGCTGCTCCCACCTGACTCCCCTCCTGACGCTGAGTACATCCCTGGGGCAGCCCACAGAGCTCGTGTTTCTCCTTCAAGCATCTGAGCTCTCAGAGAGAGCCTTTTGAGATATAAGTCATACTGCTGGCCTCCCCAGCTCTCCTTCCCACTCGGGTCACCAGTGCTGTAATAGGAATTCTACAAATTATTATCTGATACACAGTGATCTCCCCTCTTAAAGTCTCAGGCAATTGACCAAGTCCACTTCAGCAGCCTTTCCTACTTCTCCTGACCTTTCTAAATCTGCTGTTCCCCGGAGTTCCCTTCTGGAAGGACATGGGACAGAATTCACCAAGACATCCATAATCTTGTCTCGCCTTCCCTTCCTGGACAGACCTAATAGATCTGTCATCCTCAGTAAGGGGCAGGGATCAAACGTTTTTTAATGAAAACATCTGAAGCCAGGATATATGTGTATACACACACACACATATATATATATTAGTAGTTACAAGTACATAATAAATATGCACTGGTAAATAAAGTTCTCATTCTCACACCCTCTGTAAGATGGAAAGATCTCCGCAGAAACAATGACTTATAAATATAACTTGGTCTTAACTGCCTCGATGCTAAGGATAAGAGTGTTGCTTTTCTGGAGACACTAACAAGCAAAAGTACCCATCCAAGTACTGGCAAGTTGGATAGTTCTTTCATTTCTGACAGTAAGACTGTGCTTCCCTCACTCAGAGGACAGTTCAGTGTTTACAGAGGAATAGTAACGGCAGGTTTTTAAAAAATATACTGTGTGACTAAAAGTCAATATTTTGCTGTGTATTCACATTTACTAAATGGCCAGAAAGGAAGGTGAAGCAGAATGCGCCACTAAGAGCTCTGCGTTGCCTGCCTTCTAGAACATGCCACAGGGTGCCAAGTTCCGTCCTCTGTGTCCGCACTGCAGGGACCTGGGCAGGGTAGATGCTCTCTATTTCTTAGTACAACCATGTGCCTTGTATCAGACCTGATCTCACATTCATGAATAGTTCCAAGAAATTCTGATCTTTCCTGGTATCACAGAATAAAAGCATATGAGAGCTGGCATTGAAATCTAATGTATTCTGAGAAATACTTGATGTGGAAAAGCAGTGAGAAAGGACATGGTAGGCTCAGCTGTAGAACCTGGAGAGTAGGTACTAACCTTGGACTACAGGACCCTGAACATCGCTACCCAATTATAGAATCAAGCACCGAAATCTGGAGATGAGATGTCTGTGTGTGTCTGAGGGCAGTGGCAGTCGGTAAGAGAAATGTAATTCAGTTTTTAAGGTTTATTTTTATCACCTGAGTCAATGTGTTTTTCAGCTTGTGCTCTTGTGAGCTACCACAACTCAACACTCATGAACTGACACATGCAAGATCTCCTCTACTGGAGTCCAATTCTAACAATTATTGATCTGTTGCCCTGGAAACAAATCTTATCTCTGGAGATCTCATCCAGTCCTGGCATTGCCATGGTAGTGGGGCATTTTCCAGCAGGTGTAAGGGCATGCACGTTATCAGCCTGGAAATGTGAGCTGCGGACACACAAAATGAGAAGGAATGACGGGAAATTTGCTCTCAAAGTCTACCTGAGTGTGCTATTCCCATCTTCAATCACCACAACAGTCTGTGCAAAAGAGTCTTCTTTCTTCAGGTGAGCTCAGAGATTCTGGGTGTTATTTCTGGAGGTGCATGGCACTGTATGGCCAGTATGATATATGTATTTATTTATTATCATATACAGATAGGTCACATATTTACCATATATCACATAGGCTACAGATATACCAGTATGACATAAAGGAAAAGACTGTACTTTAAGAGGTGTTTTAAAATCAATTGTTATAATTAATAATATCATCAGTCAGGCATAGTCCCAGCACTCAGGAAGCTGAGGCAGGAGGGTCATCATGAGTTCAAGGCCAGCCTACATTTATGTAGTGAGTTCAAGGCCAACCTGAATTACATGGTGAAACTTTGTCTCAAAATAGAATAATAATAACAATAATATCATCATAGATAAATATTTTAAAATTTTAACTTTATCTATGTATTCTTTTAAGCTCTTTGCATATTTTATTTCTTTTTGTCTTACCAAAAAACAAGGTATGTTTGTCAAAACACACAGATGGAGTAGCACCACAACCGAGGCCCCTGGGGATGAAGAACGGTCAGTGTAGTTTTTGTACTTTGCCTAGAGCATGTCACTCTAGGACAGGAAGTGATAGCAGAAGACACTGCGGACAAAGGGTGCGTGAGAATTCTGCTCATCCTGGTCAATATTTGTACAACACCGGAACTGCTTTTAAAAAGTCTGTTAAAAAAAAAAAACCTGTCAGTTAGATCTGCATATCACCATCCCCATTTCACAGATGAGAATAAAGAGTCACAGGTGTGGCCAGCCTCTCTCTCTGCGTTCTCACACCAAAGAAGTCCCAGAGATGAGACAAGCATCAAACTGCACAGCCCGCTACAAAGCCGGCATCTGTCTGCTTAAAATAAGAAGCAACATTTGTCCCAATGTCTAAAAACCTGTAGGACTGCACTCATTCTGAGTTCAAGGGGAGTGCAGTGGAGAAGCTGGGGGTAAAGCACTGCTTAAGGGTTACAGAATATTTGCCTTGAACTTCTGAGGTTCACAGATAAATACAAGCAAAAGCCACCTTTTAAAGAAATAGCATGAGGAGATCTCCAGTTTTCACAACTCTTTATTTTCCGTGATGTCCGAACAGGCAGCATCTTGCTATATGGAGCACGATTGGAAACAGCGGCGGATGTTTGAATTAAATGTATTACCACAGTAAAAGCACACTGTCACACTGCAGCAGAATTTACCATATTTTTGATCCACTTTGTAAAGAGGAAAGAGGACTCCAGAGCTGCTTCAGAAAGTGGCAAAGACAATGGGATGAGTGCGTTCAAACCAAGGGGGAAGGTCTTTAGGGGGACTCATAGCAACGTGGCTTTTACTGTGATCATTTTAAACTTAAACATTCACCAAGTGCTTTGATCATGTGTTTAGCTTTTGTGTCTCGGAACCGGTCTTGGCTATGACTGCGTGGATCGCTGTGTGGACTTTACCCGGAAGTTGCCACCTCGGTGAGTCTCCTGCTGTTGTGTGTCATTGGTCTTAGGATGACAAGCCAGTCGCCCTGTTTACCTTCATCGGATTTTCCAGCTATATTTTCCCATATTCACCTTTATTAGGATGACCTTTCCCTCTCAGGGGTGTCGTGCCCTGCCTGTAATTCATCACATTTCCCCAAAAAAGGCTGCTTCAGTGACTGGCAGGGGAGGACGGCTCCTCTCTCCAGAGCTCCCTGGCAATGAGCACGTGCCTCTGCCGTGCTCCGGCTGGCCATGAGAAGAAACATCTGCATGTCCGTCATCGCCAGGTTGATGACCGCATTTCTTTATGCACAACCTGCTTTTGACCTCACAGTGCTAGGGCGACACATAGCATGTGCACGGTAGTCCCAGTGTCTGGACTGACAGAAAAGCTTCCTTGGCTGTGTAGTGCCTGGCAGTCACCAGCAACCCTGGCCATAGTGAAACTGCCAGGCTTGGAAGAGGCCCCCGGTCAGCTCACCTGGGTGATGCTGAAAACCTACAATGAATTTAAAGGAATTGTAGATTTATAAAACAGTATTTTTAATAATATCATCCTATTACACAGAAATAATGCATAACTATGTCTCAGAGATTTGCCTAATTAAAAGCACTATAAATAAACTCCATTGTTCTGCTTTAAGTCTCCCCATTTCCATATGCAATAGGAATAGAGGGAAATAGTTTATCTTTCTGCATGGCGAACGTAGACTCTTTTTCATAACCTTTGGTTAGATGTAGACTTTTCAAAATGGAGAATCACTTTTATTGGTGCAGTGTATCCCTGGAGCATTTAGTTTTCATGTCCTTTTAGAAAATGCATATTTCAGTAATGACATCATTCAAACTTCACTAATGCAGGGATATTTAAAAGCAGCAAGATATCTAACATGCCTTATAGAAGTACAACTGTAAACATCATTTTACTCAAAGAAGTAAATTTGCAGGGATTTTGCTGTGGCTGCTTTGCATTTCATCAGCACCTTCCGGCTTCCCAGGACAGCACTGGACAGGTGGGGGCCACAGCTACCACTACCTGTCAGGTTCTGGAAATGAGACCAGGGCAGCAACGCCAGGGTAAAACGCAAACAGAGGAGGTACAGCAGATCATTAATAATACCCATGTGGATATATGCTGACCTAACAACATTTCAAATTTACTGGCTTAAATCAGGGATGGTATTGGAATTAATTTCATATATTTTCTTTGATTTTTTTAAAAAATGTGGCTACTAGAAAATTTGAAATCACATAGGCAACTCATATTCTGCTTCTCTTGCAGGGTGCTGATCGAAGCTGTATTTCTGGGAAGATTTTATCAATTCTGAAAAGCGCTAAGATTACGTTGTTCACAGAAGAACTCAATTTTTCCCATTTTCCCCCATCTAATAACAAGAAATGACAAAAGTAATTTGCACTAATCCAGACGAGAAAAACAGGAAGAAGAACACAGTGATGAAGATTTAATTTCTGTAAATTACTCTTAATATATGATTTTAGAAACATCCCACACAGACACCCTGGCTTTGAGCTTTGGGTGGAAAAATTGATTTGGGAGCAAGCTTGATCCCCTATCCACCAACATGACAAGTACAATAATAAATAGATTATCCATATCAGCTGATAAGAATGCAACCCCACGGCTAGACTGCAGCAGATGTTTCCTTGTATGACACGTTGATAGAAAAATGGGCAGGGGACATTTAAAATTCATTGCAGGGAGACTCTATATTATAATGAATCTCATTAATAGTAATTAGGATTTTTTCCTCCCAGGCTACCACAGTTGATGCCCTCCCTTTTATAGGTCAAAAGAGCTTAAATACGCAACAGCCTCTAGCAACTGACAACATCGTTTTGCTTCTGAAGAATATGTCACACGCTTTAAGTCGCTTGTAAGCAGGAAATGTTTGTTACCTTCTTGCATGAGTACCCAAAGGGGCCTGACGTAGTCACATTGCAGGCTTTTAAGACGTGATGGCTCAGAAGGGAAAAGCGTCCAGGGCCCCACAAGGCCATCACAGTGACAGGAGGGTGACAGGCCAGAGCAACCCCTTTTCTCTCCTGTGTAAAGAATTCCTTCGAATCCACAATGGAAAACCGGAGCCCCCGCCCTGGGGACAGCATTGAGGAAAAGCAGTGGGGTGTCCGGGAATGGCAGTGGACAAGAGGGAGCACTTTCCTGCTTCAGACGCAGCCTGTGGTGCTGTGATCGGATGGATGACCTTTCGCCTTAATTTCCATGTGTGCATACTTGCTCCCAGACAAGGAAAGCTGGGTCTTTTGGCGGGAACCGCAAAGGGGGACCCCACCTTATGCGATGACAGCTATGGGACTCGCTCTGGCGCTGCTGACGGGCATGGGGGAGGCCCCACTCAGGAAGAGTTGTGCAGTGTAGCCAGCCTTTGTGATACTCTGACACGGCAGCTCTCCAATGTTAATGCCAACCTAATTATATATTTGGCTTCCGTTTTGGCAATAGGCTGTACTTAAGCAAAATTTAGTACCATCTTGTGTGTTCCTACAGCTGGGTAATTACAAGGCATTTCAGGTTTCAGGGCAGGAAATTAATGATACGAAGACCAGCAGCTATTTAAAGACAGTTACTCTGCACCCTTCCTGGGACCCACTACTAGAACGCATGTTGACTCCCCCAGGAACATAGCCCGAGGTGAGAGGGAAGCAGGTGCAGTTTTGATTCGACTTTAAAATAATAATACAGAGTGTGTGCTTTGGGTCAGTGTAATCGTCAGAGGTGTTCTCTATAAACACGTTCCTCCCTGGAATACTTCTATTTAAGTCTTTGTGAATAAATGGACTTCTTTTATGGGATTTGGGTGGGGAAGATTTTTGCCGAAAGACTAGGGAAAGGCAAATTCCAGGCTTCCAGAGTCCCTCGGCTGGAGGACGAGACAATGAAACACTGAGGAGGAAAGCCGGCTTGGAAGAGATCCAGTCGAGGAGCCGCTGTGGTGTTTATTCTGCCGGCAGGCACTTCCTGGCAGAGGCAATGCAAATCTGCGAAGACAGGGACACTGGGGCTTCCCCAGGTCCCCGACTCTGACATTAGAGTTGTGTGAAAACCCCCGATGAGCGCGCACAGCTCCTTCCACAAGGCAGGGAACTGGCCCTTCACCTGTAGCTATTACGTTATCGGATTAGCGGAAGGTCATTAGCTCATGCCTGGCTTAAAACAGAAACAGACCTTCCTTGACTCACATACTGCCACCGAATACCACAGCCTGGGTGGCAGACACGACAGGAGCTCACCCTCTCACAACTCCGGAGGCCCGGAGTCCACCCTCAGCGTGTCACGAGGCCATGCTGTCTCTCCCAGCTGCTGATTTGTGCCAGAAATTTTGTAGATTACATTTTCCAAGGCCCTACACATAAAAAGACACATTCAAAGGTACCAAGCATCAGGATGTGGACATGGCTTTCTAGGGGACAGGATTCCATTGATAATACCGTGACCGGTCATGGAACCAAGGCATACAAAGTATCTGTGTCTATCTTATATCTTCTCGTATCCTGGCCCCTTATACTCCCCTTTAGAGCTACTCTGGAGGCTGAGGCAGGAGGATCACTTGAGTCCAGAGGTTCAAGATCAGCCCGGGCAACATAGCAAGACTCTATTTCAAAACAAAATGAAATAAAACCTAACAAAAGCAAAAACATAACAGGAAAAAAAAAAAAAAAAGAGTGGTCTTAAAAAGATGAAGATTACCACAGAAATACTTCTCTCGTGGCACTTAACTGTAGGCTTTGGTTACCCAGTCATCATCTTCTATTTGAAAAGGTAGAATAAAAACTACTGCCAGTTTTGCTCTTCATTTGCTACTCAGAAAATTTTTCAGGTTTAAGATTGAAATTTGCAATCATGTGAACCCACTACTACAGGATTCACCTATGTTCTTTTAAAATATTCAGTAGTATTTCTTTAAAACCCAAAGTAAGTACTGGTCTTTTCTTGTGCTTAAAGAAAAAGAAAACCCCAATATTTAATAGTAAGGGCAGGCACACGTGAAATATCGTAGCCCTGATCAAACACTGTGGCCCCTGATTACATTCGGGCTGCGAAAACTTAGTCGCTGCCCAGCTGGCCAGGGCTGGGTGCTGAGATGGCTGCATGGCCATCCTAGGTCTGTCCTGTCTTCTGCCGACGCAGAGGTGGATAAATGAGGAAGGATGTCGTCTCCTCAGAACACGGGGGTGTCAAGAAAGTTAAAAAGGGAACCCCAGTTACTTGCCCCGTCCTTCTTACGCCTCTCCTTCACAAGGTTCTTTCCCCTAGGAGGTCCTGGTCCCCTGGTGCTCTGTCCGTGGTAGACTCTCTTGCCACCACTTGCTCCAGGGCTCCGACCCAAACTACTTACCAGGCCACGAAACTCACAGGGAGAGCTTTGGAGCTTGCCTCCCGCATAACCAGCTGCTCTAGATCCATCTGAACCCTCCTCTGTACTTGTGGATGGAGCCAGACCTGCTGTAGAAATAGCCCTGGCCGTGCCTGACACAAAGGAGGTGCAGACCCAGCTGCTCCACCCCCGGACCTGGGGCTCGCCTGCTTAAGTGCCCATGTGGAAGCGAGTGGGTGGGTTAACTTGGTCATCCCGCCATTCAGCGACAAGCCCACACTCAGTGACGTTCACACCCAGGACACATCACCATGCGGGAGCCCTGTGGTGACGACAGGAGCTGGAGTCCAGCGTTAGTTATGAAATACCCCATGCGCTGCGGACACCGTTTAGGTCTAATTACCGCACTGCTCTGGACTCCTGCTTTTGCCTGGAATCCCTGAAGTCCATATTTCATGGGAAAGGATGTGGACAAGCCCGGGGCTACAAGCATGTGCTGGCTCCCGGTTCACCCCACGGGCACAGACCTGCAGGTGCAGGGTTAATCCCACTCCCGGCAGCAGAAGGGAAGCCTTAGGACTATGGGGCTGCCTGCGGACAGTCCATTTGGATGAGAACGCAGTGTCCCAGACAACACGCAGGAACCAAAGCACCTTCTGCAGGGAGCCCCCCGTCTCCTCTGCTGTGCTGACCCCACAGCGTCCCCTCACAGATAACAGCCGCTCCAGAGTGTTGGTGTGGAGGAAAGGGAGGAAGCAGTCAAATCTGCTGTCTCATCATGGTCTGTCAACGGGAGAGTGTCGGCCACCACCAGCACTGCCTTGTCCCCATCCTCAGAGCCCGCAAATCCCCCCCAGCATTCCTCCCACCTGGCCACCATGCGCTGCTCCCTGCAGCTTTCTCCGCTGTCTCCCTTAGCCCAGGAGCATTTGAGATGCCTCTACAACCTTGAAGATGCAGAGATGGCACTGCAGGGGCCAGCTTCTGGGGGACCCTCCCCCACACCGTCCCTGGAAGGAGCGGTCTCCCCACCAAACCCTCCGCCGCCTGACTGGAACCCAACATCGGGTCTACGGCTCTTGGAGAGGTTGGAGGCTTCTCCCCCAGGGGGTCAGAGATGGAGAGGGTGACAAAAGCACACAGTGACGTCTGGAGGCATCTCAGAAAATGGGAATCAAAATCCAAAGTCTGCCTTTCTTAAAACCACCAACCTCCAAAGGATAACTACTCCCGAATGGAAATGCTATGCGATCTGTGATGTGCTCCCCCAACATCCGCTGACACTTGGTCCGCCGGCTGAATTGTGAAGAAGGATATGTGAAATGACAAGTGGCTGTTATGACAAGTGGCTGTTGATCAAGACAGCCTGGAAGGAGTTCGGAGAAAGGCGGAATAAAGGGAGGAGGCCTTTACCATTTTGCCAATGTCCAGTGGATGGCCTTCCTGCCTTGCTTTACACTGTGGTGTTGGCCATGGGTCTGCAGACAGGCCTGCGCCTGTTGCCTGCATTCCTGAACAGAAATTGATGTGTCACTCTCACCCAATCAGTCACACAGAGCAAAGCCAGAAGACAGAAAGCCCAGAGAGCCCTGCAAATGCTGCCCCACCCCCGCCATTCATTACCCAGGCAGCCTCACACGGAAGGGCCCAAGATTCATGGTTTGTATTAAACCATGATCTGTTTGTCATTCCTAGAAATCGCTAGGAAAACAAAAGCACAAAATTGACGAAATAAATAAATGAAATAACTCGAGTCACACAGTATTAGAAAGATACATCTTCATGCACCAGTCACAAGAATTGATGGCCCCTTCCCGTGTAGCGCCCTGCATAACCATATATTATCCTGTGCTTCACTGCCTTGTCTTCACAGTGTTATCAGACACAGAACGCATAAAACTTCCACCGTGTTTTGGTGGGAAGCCACCTCAGATCCGTGCTGGAAGGAGATAGGCAATCAATCAGAAATAATGAATATGCAGGTGCCACTGCCTGTGTAAGGGTGCAGGTGAGAAGGAAGAGGGCTGGTGCCCAGCAGCTGGTACCAGACAAGAAGCCTCGGGTGAGCAGACCGCACAGGCCAACCTGCAGCTGTGCTGAGGAGCCTGTTGCCTCAGCTTGACAGAGAAGCAATGCTCAGTCTACTGCAGTGTGATCAAACTACCCGGTAAGGGTCAAACAAAAGAAGAAAATTTAGCGTGGTGAAAGATGTACTGCCATTAACCTCTGCCCCAGAACCCTCCCCCCGTGCT